AAGGGTGCATCAACCTTGCAGAGGTCACCGTGAGTGAGGTTCCATCCCCCCGATCTGAATTGAACGGGTTAACCCAGCAAGACAGGACCAGAGAGCCAGCTCCGGGCTGCCTCAGCTCTACAGGCATCTACACGCTTGTTCTCCCAAAGCACTTTGCAGCCATAGGAGCGCACGCTTGTGACAGTTGTCGATCAGCAGTGTTGACTCCGTAACACCATGATTGAAGAAATTCCGGAAGACACTTTTACCCACTGCACTGGCCTTCGGGAAGTCTTCCTACCGACAACCCTCCATGCAATCCGAGTTAAAGCCTTTATGAACTGTGCCGCCCTTGTTGAGCTGCCATTCCGCCTGCTCTCAAGTATATTGGAAGTGGAGCTTTCTTGGACTGCACTGCCCTTCGAAGGCTGGTCAAAATGCCCGGAACACGCAGATGGCATGGGGTGTATGCTGAAGAAAATGCTTTTGCCATCTGTCCAGCCATGAAATGGCCACCCTGGCTGCACATGATCCCAGACATGGGCTACACCCCTGGCTTAGGATAGAGGATCATCCTTCCATCCACAGCTGTCGTGGCCCTGCTATCAATTTTGTTAGGGTCTGGGTGTGAGCCTTGGCTCGGGTCCGGAGTTGGCCAGCAATTGCGAAACAGTACTCCTCAACACAAGTCACTAACCATAGTTGCCTTCCGTTATACATGGAGTAAGTGCCCAGAGGCTGTCGGATAGAGAAGGGTCTCCGCGTGGCGGTGATGTCGACAACGGCAAATCGTCCATCTGCCAGACACAGTAGTCGGTCACTGGTTTAGGTGTCAAATGCTGCGGGTAGTGGTCGCCTCGAGATGCAAGTTTTCGGCACCATAGCATTCGATGACCTACAACGCAAACGACCTTGGGCGACACAAACTATCCAGAACCAGCCTCAACGAAGCTATGCTTCAGAGCCAGGAGAGAAGCAAGTGCGACGTGAGCAGTGAGTTGAGCCAAGTGCCAGGTTTTGGGCTTGGAAAAGGAGGATTTCCAGGCATATATGGCAAGCAAAATGCACAGACAGCAAGTAGAACCATGACCTCTTCTCGCCATCCCCTGCGAAGTGAGCCGATAGGAGCGAGAACCTTAGTTCTGCGTTCCTACACGGCGGGTTAGTGACAATGAAGGATGCCCAGGGGGAACTTTAGTTCCCGCTGTTGATGTCCGACATTTCCAATTTTGTACAAAGAGGTACAGATATCATGCTAGGAGAGCTCAATGTTTCACAGGTTTCACACAGGCCTTGCACGCACCTCTCACCTTTTGCCATTAAACAGCGCCGCACAGACTCAAGTGACATCCCCCTTTTGGCACCGTTGAGTGCCGAAGGGTGTTGGGTCTGCCTCCCCTTGGGGAGGTGGTGCCCGATTCACCCTTAGCTGCAGGCTTCTCTCGCCAGGAATTGCCGCCGTAATTGAATTCTGTCTGGCAGCATGTGACTGGCCTTGTATGCGCCACCGGTTAAACGGGTTGTGCTTCAAGTATGGTCTTTTCCATGGATTGCTGCTTAGATCTTCGCACATTCGGTTGGCCTGATTACAACCACTGCTGGAGCATTGCGAGACACCTGACCTGCAAAGTGACCTTGTTTTGCCACACTGTGGTGTGGCCGCTGGTCACCAACACTTGGGAAGGAAAGTCCGTTTGAAGCCTTCTAGGCGGCTTTCCATGAAGACAGCTTGCGCTGCAGTCCTCTTCTTTTGCGAATTCAGGCCCACTAGTTGTCACTAGTCTCAGTTTCACACGTTTCACCTAGTGTATAGGGAAGACTACAAGATGGTGGAGTCGGCCTGCGGGCTTGGGTGTTTGGTTTTGGGTTGGTTTTTGGGGTCTTCGTTCCTTTCTCCACCATCTGTCTTCTCTTCCCTTCCTTCAACGATGACCTGGGCACCATGCCCACACGGCGTCCGTACTCGTGGAAGAAAAATAGAAGTGAGCAGCATGACTCTCTGCGTTTGGCTGCGTGGGGATTTTTGAATTTGATTTTTCAATGCCTCTTTGTGTTCATTGTCTTGGCGCTTTTCAGAGCAGGCAGGCCTCAGTTCACATGCAGAAACTAGACGACGGTTGGCCCGAGAGCGAAAAAGAGGGCAATTCTGAGTGAGGAAACAAGCAAAATCAAGTTGTCCAAGAGCCATGACTTCTGTGCACAATCTGTCATTGAGTAAGAAGCAGCGAAGAAATTAGATGTAAAATATCAAGAGAAAAGATGTGTGGACAGAGAGAAAGAGAGGGCGGATGTGAAGGAGTGACAGTGTGGATGTGCAGGTGCGATATAGGTGCGCAGATGTGTGGGTGTGTGGAGGTAGAGAGGTAGATCTGCGGATGTGAGTGTGTGATCTCGATTTCAAAAAGCTGTTGTGGATCTTGGCAGGCAATGCAGGCGCCTTCCACAAGGTGCCGGCCTGGTTGTTGTGTTTGTTTTTGTTTTTTTTTGGTGTTTTGGGGGTTGTTTTTTGTGTTGGTTTCCTGTTTTCCGGTTTGCTCCCCTTGCCAATATGCAGAGTTTCCATCCTTCCCACGATGACCTAGGCACACCGCCCACATGGCGTCTGTACTCGTGCAAAAAAGTTCCGCAAGGTGCCGGCCCACCAAGAAGATCTCATTGTACTGCTCTTTGACACGATCCAACAAAGGTTGTCGCAATGTTCCGACTTCAGATGCCTGCTCCATGGCTTTGAATAAGTGCCTGGAGAAGCAGAAGACAAGGAAGGGCGTTGAAGAGCAATGAGGCTACAAATGTCTTCGCCATGCATCGCATCAACGATGACAAACGATCCCACGACAGAGGTAGACGTGCGGCTTTGAAAAGTTCGACAGCACCATGTCGTCAACGATACAAGCAATCCTATGTTTGCGCAGCGAATTGTGTAAAAGTCACCCAAAAAAACTCGGTAACAACATGCCGTGAACAACGTGTATGATCTCATTCCTGTATGGAAATTTGCATGAAAGTCTCCAAAAAAAGCTTGGTACCAAAATGCCTTCAAAGGCAGAGACCATGTTTTTTTTATGTGAAAATCTCCGTATATATTAATATAAAAGCTCCCCCGAGGTTTTTGTAAATAACATCTAACACTCTCTCAAGCCGAGCATCGTCGCCAGAGCTTGCAAAAAGACTCGGTACCAACATGCCGTGAACAACGCGTATGATCTCATTCTCATACGAAAATTACCATGTAAGTCTGCAAAAGAAGCTCCGTACCAAAATCCCCGGAAAGGCAAACACTAAGACCATTGGATATGAACATATTCTTATGTTTTCATAAAAAGCTCGGTACCGCAATGCTTTTGCAAATGGCATCCAATATGATCACAATGTTGTATGAACAGTTTCCACAAAATAGTGAAAAAACCTTGGTACCGAGGCTTCCAAAACGAACGTTTTCCACGAGACATTCGAAAAAAGTGAGAATGACACCTTCGCAACCGAGTATTTTCCACGAGACTTCCCAAAAACTAGAAAACTTTACCCGCATTCTGCGCCACAATAACTATGAATATAGGCCATTGGCGCGCGTAACCTTCCAAGCATACAAAAAACGCAATCGCACGATCTCCGCAGAGGGTTGAGCGTGCCAAATCCAAAACGCAATCTCACCTGCATTTCGCGCCCTCGACACCATCTCACCTGCATTTCGCGCCCTCGACACGCACGATCTCCGCAGAGGGTTGCGCTGGACCGGACAAAAACGCAATCTCACTTGCATTTCGCGCCCTCGACACGCACGATCTCCGCAGAGGTCTGCGTGCCAAATCCAAAACGCCATCTCACCTGCATTTCGCGCCCTCGACACGCACGATCTCCGCAGAGGGTTGCGCTGGACCGGACAAAAACGCAATCTCAATTGCATTTCGCGCCCTCGACGCGCGCGATCTCCGCAGAGGGTTGCACGGGACAAATCCAAAACGCAATCTCACCTGCATTTCACGCCCTGGACACGCACGATCTCCGCAGAGGGTTGCGTTTCGTGGTGCTCCGGCGGCACCGCCCCCGCCTTAAGAGAGAAAGAAAAGAAGAGCGAGAGGAGCCGCAGATGTGAGATGTGCAGATGTGAAGATGTAGATGTGCAGATGTGAAGATGTGAAGATGTAGATGAGACGTAGTTCTACAGATGTGTTTTAACGAAAACCCCTTCGCAGACGCTCTCGGGAAAAAACTTCCACACAGGAGTGTGAGCGCTTGGGTTTTTGGAATTTGTCATTGATCAAAATATTTGCTTTGTCTGAAGGACTCCATGCAAAGCCGAGGGGCCTTGTGGATCCAAGAAGAATGGGATGGTTCTGCGTCTTATCTTTCCCCTTTGACCTCTTCCACAGGGTCTTTTCACTCCTTGCAACCTGGTTCCATTGTTGCGTGTGCTTTAGTGTTCGTGTGTCGCCAAAATTTGGCCAAATTTTGGCCATTTGCATGGAAGGTGCTGTCATTGGAAATCAGTCCGGCCACTGCTGGCAATGGGTTTTGGTTTTAGTGCTGAAAGTGGGTCACACTTGAGATTGGTTGGTTTATTTTTGTTGGACCCTTTTGGTGTTTCTCTAGTTCTTCCTGTGGAGGAACACTGAGTGGGTGCATTTCACAATCTAAGGCGCATTTTGACAACTGTTTCTTTTGAAAAAAAACATTCCCAATTGTCATCTTGCACCAGAAATGCATGACAAATTGTACTGGTCACTTTGTGAACAAATACACGCAGACTCACAACACCAACAAATTTTGTCACACTTTTTGCAATTTTTTGGACCTGTTGATGCAACAGTGTTGTGTGTTTCGATCTTTTGTCCCTTTCAGTCTTGCTTCAAAGTGCATCATTCCCAGATAATATCCGGGTTGAACAGTGAATCTTCATGCATGTCATGCATGCTTAATGCAGAAGGTTGGCTCCACAAACACTTCTGGAAACAAGTGACTTGGAAGCAGGACAGCTAGAGGCTGGTCCCAAACCATCTTTAACAGTTAACAGTCAACACTCTCAGAGGAATTGCCTTCCAGAAGCGGTGACAAGATTTTCGCCATGATTCGCTGCTTGGAAGCGACATCAAGTTGGCTCGTCAATTTTTATGTTTTGCAAATGTCAGAAGTTTCACTGCTTGGTGGTTTCACACACTTTCTGAGTGACAGAATCCACCCTCCAAGGCTATACGAAAGGCGCATCGAACACACTGTTTTATTGGTGGGGTGGCATCAATCGACATCTTCTAGTGCCGTCTGTGGCTTGTCTGGAATGCATTGGCGGGCTGGGGGGGGATTCTTGGGGAGATTGCAAACTGACATTATACTGGGCACTACAGTAGTTTCCCTTTTTGGTTGGATTCTGAAGCCCCAAGTGAGTGCACAAATATGTCGTTGAGGATTTTTTTAAAACCTTTTTTGCAACGACAGCAATATACAACAGACATCAACATGAGGGAAAAGGCACCCGATGGCGTGTGTCAATGTCAGCATTTATATAGGATTGAATCATTCAAGAATGACTCATTAACTCATTCAAGATTTGTGCATCGTTGCTACGAGTGCCATCGTACAACTCATTTCAATAGAATGTCTAAGTTCCGGTTAGTCTCAAGGCTAACTTTGAAAAATATTCCAGCTCATCTACAACCAAGGATAGCATTTCAATTGCAATTGAAATTTATTTGTTTTTTCAACCCACAGTGGACGTGATGCGTGCAAGGTGATATACCTTCTCTTTCTCGTCGCCCTGTACTATGTGCAGCCTAGCTTTGCAGTCGAGGTTTTCGCAGACTGATTAATAGAAGTTTTCTTGGACATGTATGTGTGTTGGCATATGTAACTGTAACATGTATAGACACTGAGATGAACAGATGCAAATAATATGTTGAAGTGAAGGAACAGCAGTAAGTTTGTTGTGACCCTCACGGAAGGTGCGAGATTCATGGATTTCGGTTGCTTGAGACTCAGGCAAAGACGCTGGGTCTTGTTTCAGATCGACTGCTCGACCAGCGGCTGGAGAGCTCAGAAACGGCAGGTCAAACCGATTTGTTCGCCCGAGGTCCTAAGGTTTTTGGGGATGAAGAGCCGCATGACGTCGCTTGTTGGCGGCGGAACCAGGTATGATTCACTGGAAATGAAGCACTCTCCTGGTAAATGGGCGATTGATTCACAGGAAGTGAAGTGGAGTTAAACGTGTTTGTCACACGGTATAATATCTCCGCCTTACAAGTCTGCAAAACATGTATGACAAAATGTTTGATGTCTGAGGCTTGTCCATGCTAGGCAGTCCGGGGCCTCAATAAGAGACCGCTGCAGGACAGGTGCGTTTTTGTTAGATATAGAATGGACGCGAGTCCGACAACTCTTCTTCCTAGTTTTTAGCTTTTGCGAACACAACTTGTACGGCCGGGTGCCACTTGAGAGAACATGCAAGTCCAGCCGGCGCGATCAGTTTGTTCAACGAAGTGCCCTTTAGTGGCTCCATGGGCGATCATGTTGATTGTGGATCGTTGGCAGTGAAGGTGATGCTGAATAACTTGTGATTGAGCTGTGTGCGACCAACACTTGGCAGCTCCTGCTGTAAACATCCTCATTCTCCATACTAAAAAAAAATTAAATTTTGACTTATGACATATTTGAAGAGACTTCTTTCCACGTGTGCTTCGGACAAGAAGTGCCAGAGATTCTCCTACAACCTCTTTGTCCTCCGAAGGCTTGACCGTCTTTCTGCTGGTCTTCCGTGCTCCCAGCAGTTGTTCCGGCTTCGAGTCAGTTTTTGTGTTTGACTGGTTGGCCTTCCAGGCAGCTGAGCTTAACACTTAGGCAGACTCAGGACGGACCCTTGTCAACACTCACAGAGTGTTGCCTCAACAGGCTTTTTGGATTCCCTGATCCCTCATGTTGAGCGCTATCCTCAAAACCTCCTCATTTCTTTGTTTCCAGGCAGATACTTTCTCGAACACAGCAGAAACAAGCTCAAGATTCCAACAGCTCCCGGGTCAGGCCATACTCCAGCTCTGCAAGATACACCTCAAGTCCGTCTCGAATCATCCACGTTTTCCGAATTCTGCGAAAAACGACAGCTCGGCCAGGTATGAACCAATCCATGGCGCGCAACAATGAGGCTACAGAGCGTACGGATGAGATGTTTGGAGAGTGCCCTGGCTACACATCTTCGGAGCCGTGTTGAGGAGGTGTCCCGGCCACGCCAGCAAACACTTGGGGATAGCCTTTTGAGGTTCTGGCTCTTACTTTCAGGATCGAATGATTTTGGATTATTTTAGAAGGTCCGGTCCCAGAGATAAGCTAAGGGTCATCCTGAGAATGGGATACTGCAGCCTTGGCACATAACTTGAAGGTGTGTTCTAGAGTGGTTTTGGTAATATGGACAGATTTTGCTGAAAGACAGCCCAGCTGAGATTTTGACCTTTGGTTAGATTGAAGAAAAACTCGGAGGAATGCAAGGCACAAACAGAGCTTGTACACTTGGACATGGGATGGGGAGAAGCAAAACTCACTCTGCTGGGAAGGTTGTATATATAGATACTTTTTGGAAGCACATTCTTCAATGTCCATTCCAGTATCACGGCACTGACCAGGCTGCGTACCTTTTTGCGAAGTGGCAGAGTAAAAGACATGGACATACTTCAGACAAGTGTTCTATTTTTTCCCAAGCAGCCTGTATACAAAGTCGGAAGTTGGAATGAAATGTCACGTTCTACCATTCTCAGGATTCATCATTCACTGCCGACTTGATGGATCATGAAAAGGGGTGGAAAAAGCCTGATTGCTGCGAACATGTTGAACCCCTTACCAATCTTCCTGCAACAGGGCCGAATATTTGTAGCCTCAAAGTGAGAGCTTTTGACAGGTTTCGTTCTGAGGATTTGCATGCCATGGAAGCATCTGCACACGCACACATGAAAGGCCCGCGGTGATGAATCATGAAGTGATTGTGAGGACCCATTCACCAGTTTGGATTGCAGTTCTTTAAACATATTTGTTTGGGTCTCATGGATAGTTGTTTGCGGTGCTTTGTGGAACCTTCCGACTCCAATACTTTAAACACTTGCTCACCCTTCACGATGTAGTTTCTCAGTTTGCACCAGGACCATGTGCAGGCTAAGAAGGGTTCCTGCTCTTTTTCACCTGAGGATGGACTTCTTGGTTCACTCCGTTTGTGCCTTTATGGCAGGCATGTTGACTCAGCAGTTCTTGCCATGAACAATACTGCCAAGAACAGGTTGAGACACAAGACATAGCCCGCAGCCTTTAATTTAAATTTATGGGGCTCTGAGCCATCTTTCAGTCAATCGCCGTACAACTTATAGCAGGTACAAAGGGCTTCACATTCGCCAGGCGCCAAAGAAGACCTGCTACACGATGTCGTGAGTGGTCAAGCCCCTCGCACGGAAGAGGAGCGAGGGTGGTATCACCGAGGGGGCTGACACACCTTGGGCCTTGAGCATTTCACGTGTTTGGGTTGGTCAGCAAAGATATGCCAACTGTGCTGCTTCCAATCAACATCTGCGCTGTGACCATTCCCGCACTTCTTTGATTTGGGATTCTGATTTGCATGCTTCACTTTCTTTCATCCTTATTGCATTTGGCACCAACTGCAGGAGCTCCAGCAGATGCGGCTCCATGGGGAGTTAGCCACAGCCATCCGCATCCACGTGGTCCGTCTTTGCGTGGCCTTCGGTGTCAGCTGCGTGGCCTTGTATCATAGACCGTGGAGATGAAATCAGTTTGTAATATCGTTTTTGCTCGTCCTAGCTGCTAGATGTTCTTCAACGAAAGCCAATGGGCAGGCTAGGCTAGGCAAAGATCAATAAAGCATGGAATAATGGGTCTGGGAATAATGGGTTTCCTCAAATTCAACCGTTCGATAATCGGGTGGTTCAGAGGCGGCCCCAGACAATGGCAGTGTCGACTCTTGCCTACAGAAGCGCAAACTTCTAACTAGTAGCGATGCCAGGAGCCCCTAGTAGCGTCCTTGCTCCTAGTAGTAAGGCCAGGAGCCCCTAGTA